ACACGATCAAGAGTGAGTTTTGTGTTATGATAAACTATGCCAACTCCAAATAAGAATGGATAAAGCTTTGTTAATTTGAGTATTATGTAGGGATGGCTGAAATACACGAACATTGGTTGTTTAGATGTCAAACCATTCAACTTCCAAATATGCCAATCAACCCTTTTACCAGATGAAAGTATCCATCATATTACATTTTGTGCAAATCATCCATAAATGGGTCGAGCCCAGTGGCTCATCTTTTAGGCTGGGCACGTGAACTAAATTGTAAGCAATCAAAGTGCCCGACATACAGACGCTATGGAAATTTTCAGAGTGCTACATATCAGCTTTGAAGTCATTTGAACGTTGTTATGAGTAGTTGATACTTGTTTTAGATGATACGCTATGACGGGTTACATCGTAAAGTAAAATTTTAGAAAAATTAAACGGACTTCAACTAAAGTGGAACTGAAACGAAATCCAACTAAAACCATTTCCAATATTAGGAATAAGCATGACAACGGAACCAAAATAGAGAATCTTGTGTTGTAAAGCAATTTCATCAGGTATTTAGATTCGATTATTAATAATGGATAGAAGAAAGCACGAGGCACAATATTAAAGTATGCTGGATAGAATGGAGAACTACACAGATCTAAAGGACAATTTTTTACAAAATGGCTTCTGAGACAGCTATATTGTATGGCATTGAATGTAAAACCATTAAAAAACAAAATGCTGATACATGAATGCAGAAATAATGAGAATGGTAAGATGCATGTGGCCAGACTATAATGAATAAACTAAGAAACAATAATATACACTAACAAGTGAATGTCACTAGTTAAGTATAAATTAAAGGAAAGGTTACATAAATAGTTGCAAATATTTCTTGTGTAAACAAAAATAAGTTGTCATTCACAACTTGAGCCACCGTTCCAACACAACAAATTGAAACTTAAACGGGAAAATCAAAATTAACATGGCTTGATATGGTTGCAGAAAACATTGATTCGGGTTTAGTAGATACAGCTATAATCAACTAAAGTTGAGGAAAAGAGTTCATATAGTGAAGCCAAATTAGAAATCAGGCTTCTCATTGTTGTTTTGTAAAGAGCAGAGCGGAGCACTCTAAGGTGATGTGTCTTAAAAAAACAATAGGCATCACTTTCTGGATCCATTGTAGTTGAGATTCTTGAGAACTGCCATCCTTTCTTCAACCTCCCCGTTCCCTTCCCGATTTCAAAACAGAAACAAATATGATAAAACAAAACAAAACAAAAAGGTGCCCATCTTCTTGATTATCTTCCTACAGTTGCCAGGCTAAATTAGGATGATCACAGCTAAGAATCAACAAAGATTACTCAAAATGAAAGAAAGTGGATTTTTTTTCTTCCAAGAATTAAATTTTATAATCGGATGTAAGAAATACAAAGTTCAGATTTTTATTCTTATAAATCATTAGAGAAGAGCAAAAATTATTCCAGTCATCTCATAAGTTCAAATCACTACAGAAACTCAGTTGATAAAACAAAAAATCATGTGAGAAGGGTCATTAACTTGGAAGTGTTGAAATCAAAACATCTCTTCGTACTTTTCCAACCCTTGGAATAACACTAAAAATAAAATGAAAAATCAAAGAGAAAGAGAGGGGCAGAAAACTGAACTGGGTACTGGTTGGACTTTCGTGTGTCATAGAAGGGTTTTCACCTATCGGTGGATGAGCAGCAAACGCTTCCAACCACCCATTCACGTCCACCTGAAAACAAATTCATTCACCCAATAAGAAAACCCTAACATACGCAGAAACATTTGCGCAAATAGAGAGAGCGGGACATACTTTGTTGAACCAGATATCTCTCGCCGCAGTAACAGTTTGTTGATAATCATAAAAGGGTCCGGCTAAAACCATCTCCTCAGCAAATTTGACGCTTCTGCAGCATGAAAAGTAATCTTTTTCACCCAAAACCACCAATGGTTCCATTTCTCCTCCCTCTAACTCGAAACAATAATTTTTATATGAAACAATTTTGGAATATTCCGACATTAATAAATTAGTATTGATGTTCTTAAGGAAACTGTGATTAATTCAAGGGTACTATGTCATTTAGCTTAAAGCGGTTTGCACTTGTCAAATGCTGCAAATGCTGCCTCATTTAAACTTCTAAAAAACTAATTTTTGTGCAAAATATCAAATATTGTAAAATCTTTTACAATTATATCATCTCTAATGTATGCATTTTTTATTTATACTTTTGCATTTTATATTTTATAAGGAAAAGTATTTTAAATATCTTAAAGTATGAAGATATATGAAGGTTTTAAATATGGATATTGAAATTTTGTTTCCTTATTTATTCAAAATGTAATTTACTAATATGATTACAATTACGTACAATTGCACTAAATTTATTTCTATAATTGTTCCTGAAATCAAGGTAAGGTAAAGGAAAGTAAAATACAAGGAATCTAATTGTTTGAAATGACAGTCATTGTTTTTATTAATATAGACTCCGTTCAATTAATTTATAAATCATTGAAAATGTATTGATAAATTAATAAAATTTATTTTAATTATATAATTTCAAGGAACTCACAATTCATTAAATGAAAAATTACTCCTTTACCCCTTTTTAAAACATTAAAAATGTGGTCAAAATTAAATTTTTGATCAACTGACGAAATTATGGATGGAAACCGTCCAAAAGGTCTTCACTTGCAACGTATAGAAATGTTAGGGGTGACGATTGCAACAAATCAAATGTTTGGAGAAAGTTTAATAATGTTTCAAAGATTTGAGGCTTCTATTACAAATTTTTCCTTTATTTTAAGATACGTTTGAAATTGAAGGGCATTGAAGAAGAACAAATATATTTTTTCATATAGTACAACCGTGTTATAAGGTTTTTCAACACGTTTGTATTTCCTTATAGTCACTGTTTGGTACCGCTAAAAATTTTGATTAAATTTTAAGTCAAAATCAATAATTAATTTTAGTTACACATTTCATAAAACTCACAATTTTTCAACTACAAATTCTATCAACTTTTATCAAAACTTGATTTTAACCTCAATCAAACAAGGGTATCTATTTTCTTAATAATTTTTTCCAAACAAGCACTAAGAAGAAAGTGAAGGGCTAAAAGGTAATTTTATAAAGCTGGATCATTTGGCCCATGTTTCGAGGTTCATGCGCACGTTATACCATCGGGTGATACTATCCCAAAATAGGAGTTAAATATTTTTAACACTCACCCAATTAAGGTCTGAGCATGAGTTACTAATCAAACTTCAGAATGCTTTCTCATTGGTTACCTAACTTTAGGGCACTACACTTCATCATCCATCCAACTTTGAGTACGGTCAAAGGTTACTCACCAAAATTTAAAATCTTCTCATTGCTCACTCAACTTTAGGAGCGTTCCACTCCATCACTCATGACCCACCCAACTTTGGATGTGGTCATAAGTTACTTAATGAGCCATTGTTTGAGCCTCATTTAAAAAAAAAAAAATGCATTCTTGTTTTGTGTTTAAACTTCATTTTAATTATACATTTCTCAATAAAATAATATTACACATAAATTCAAAAAAATTCATATTTTTTTAACCAAACAAAAATGGGGCTCAAACAAGGGTCAAATTTTAAAATACTTTTAATTGGTCACTCAATTTTAGGACGTTGCATTTCAACGCCAACCCAATTTTGGATGTAGTCATGAATTACTCATCGAACTTCAGAATGCTTTCCATTTGTCACTCAACTTTAAAGCAATATCAAGTCAAAAATTGATTCTATGAGATTAAGCACTATTATGTTAAAGAAAATAGAAATAAGACGATAGAAGAATATAACAAAAATATTACAATTTATAAGAACGTTCACATGTAAAGATTTCTTAAACTCATTGATACGATACAATAACATGTTGATCTTTCCCTCACACGAGTTAATATTCTTTTGATCAACTCTCTATTATTGTCCAAAACAACCAGGATCCCATAGAATGCCTGCTTTTAAGTTAAAAGTTTTCGAATTGATAAATAACAACAAAAAAAATATTTTAAGATCACTCATTGTCGGGATAACGTTAAATGATTTAGAATAAATATTATAAATTGAATTACGTGACATAAGAACGTGAAAAAGAGTAATATGTCTTAATTTTTCTTTAGTGATATAATACAAATTGCTTAATAATATTTGATTTGTAAGATGAAATTGAGCTATCAAATAAAGTAAGCATTTTAAAGTTCGATGGCCAATGAAAACCATTTTGGAGTTTGGTGAGTAATCGTGAGCACATCCAAATTTCGATGAGTTGTTGAAATATAATGTCCAAAAATTGAATGATCAATGAAAAGCATTCTAAAGTTCAGTAAACAACTCGTGATCACATCAAAGTTGAGTGTGTGTTGAAATATTTAAGTAGTATACTCGTGTACGATAAAATGCAAAGTCCTAAAACTGAGTAATTAATGAGAAGTATTTTAAAGTTTAATATATGACAACACTCAAAATTGGATGGGTGATCAAGTTCACCGCTCTAAAATTAGTGAAAAACATTTTTAAGTTCGATGAAAAACGCATGCCACGCCCAAAAATGGATGCATTGAAATACTCGAACTCCCCAGTATGGCAAAATTAATTTTGTCATAGCATCGACGACTTCATATCTATTTATTTAATTATTTTCCTTCTGTTTTTACCCATAGAGGGCGACAGTCTCTGAAACGCAGCAAAGCAAGGACGACCATGGCTTCAATTCCTTTTAGCTTTGGAGAAACCCATCAGGTATATATACGCGGTTGTTTATAACTTTGACTTTTGCCCACTTGGGTTTAATTCTACTTGTCTGTTTGGTTGCTGGGAAGGTAACATAGTATTCTTTTTGAAATTTTTTTTTTTGTACGGAGTTCTTCTTTATGCGGGATTATCTGCACTAATTCTATTCTAATGAGCTAAAATACACTCAGTTAAATGCTTGATGACAATAAAGAATTAAAGACTACAGATAAATGGCGTTTCAGGTTTTGGTGGAAGAGAAATACTCTACGAGAATCTTTACACTGAACAGGCCTAACCAACTCAATGCAGTTTCTTTCCCAATGGTACAATTCAGCTGGTCATTGTTTTCGCATGTATTGCTTTCTGAACTTGAATGGAGACCCTTTATATTTATGTCAATCGTGTGATGTCAATCACACATTTGATCATCTGGAATAAATTATCTTGTTGAGTTCTATGCCAATTTTGAATTTTCCCGTGCCATGAACATGTGTGCCAGCGTTTTATGTTGCAAGGTTGTTATTGTGCTAATAATGGTTGACATGGAAAGCCTAAAACCCCATCTAAGACACTAATTTGGTAACTCCAGGGACATTTGCGAGCATTAAAGCTCCATTAGCTGCATCACCTGCAGCACTTGGGGACACTAGAAGATACCTCTTCAAACTAAGTTGTTAAGGGGTTCTATATGTCAAGTCATGGACTAGTTTCTTCAGCCCTTTTTCTGTGTTGGTGTTTATATTGCTGACATAAGACTCGACTTGGGGGTAAATTCTTGATTGGGGCATATGTGCGCACTGTCATTACAGTTTCAATGCGAGATCCAAATGCTTCTTAGGCCTTGCAATTTAAGTTCAGTGTTCAAGGACTATGGAATGGCTGATTGTTTAGTTCCAGTGATACACATGCAATTCTTCTCTGTCAGATTTCAATTCTATAGTATACTCATGATTCCATGAATTGTGTGATTGAGAGGCAATCTTCACTGTACTCCTCATACCAAAGTTGCTTATCAGCTGAATGGTTTGCTGTGAGGAATTGTCAATCTCTATCTCTTGTCTTTAGCATTCTGAAGAATAGAATCTTTTGGGCTATTCTCGTGGTGTCACATCTTTCCATTCCTGTGCCCTTCTTTTATCTGCTTCAATAATCTTACTATACCTCAATAGACAAGTTACTACAGTTTTTGTCCTTCCTTTTTTATTTATGTATGAAATTATATTGGAGTGCATATCATGTCTAATGATACTTCCTTCGTCTATCACACTCCAAAAACAGAGTCCTTTTGGCCTCTCGAATGGGTAGAGTCAGATAATTCGTCCTAGGCGATCAGGTTAATTTACCATTAGAGAGAGAAATTTGACGAAGTGATTAGACGAATAAAGAGCCAGGCAATCTTTTTCTTAATTTTACTGTCTTTACCTGTCTTTCTTGAGTAAATGTCCTTTGGGGTGGCTTTACAGATGGTGTCCTGGGAGAATATCGTCCTGGGTGGGGGGCCTGGATAGGACAGGTGTCCCTCTCTGAATTTCTTGTTGTTTATGCAATTGGAAACATGAGCTTGGCCACCCCTTGGGTCCCACTCTGTTGGAACTTGTTTCCAATCCCTTGAGACCTAGTCACCTGAGAAATTGTTCTCTGGTATCAGTCAAATCTTGTCTGATTCATTAACTACTGTTGGACCCTATCTTCGGCATTTTCCGCTGTAAAGTCAAGCATCTATTATGTTGAACTTCCCTTATTAATCTTACGACTAAGCACCGAGCTACTTCCTATTTTATTCTTATTTGCTCGGCTAACCTAGTTCTGTTTGGCTTAGATGATTATTTTTCTTTGGATGAATGGGTCTTATATAGTGCTTCTTTATCACGTCACATTAGTTCAGGGTGTAGGAAAATTTATATAATATGGCTCTGTTTTAAGGTAAACATGTGACTCAAACAATATCCAATAGCTTTATTAATATTTCAATTGTTCGATTGTTTCCTTAAATTTGCTTATTCCTATTCTAGGAATCTCGGCTGTTGGAGCTTTTTCTTGCTTGTGAGGAGGACCATTCTGTCAAATTGATAATTTTGAAGGTACAGTTCTATGAAATTCTACATTATTGGTCTATACACACTATGCTGAGAGTTTATTAACCAAGTGTTGATCATCAATGTGCAAAGTGTTGGAGCTTCAGGATGCCCGTTTTGGCAAAAATCCTGGCATCTTAAAAGGCATGAACCATTATTTATTCTTATGGATCTTCTTCATTACTGTCATAGTTAGTTTTGTGTATCAGGAAATCTACTTTTCATATTTCTTCCAATAAGGTATTTCCTGTTGCAGGTCACTGCATTTGAAGCTAAAATTAATATGAAAAATGCTGGCCTTCCTTCCTGCTCTTACCCTCCTTTGGATTTTGATCTAGTTAATCATGCTATGCCCTTTAGCTTATTTGGTTGTCTGTCACGATAGTTCCCATGAAGGTCGATTCTACATGTTAGTTACAATGTCGTTTTATTTCTATTTTCAACAAGGTGATTGTCAATTTGGTTTAGTGTCTCAGTTTTTTAAATTTTCGAACCAGGGGATTCAAACATGAAAACAACATGATTTCTCATCTCCAATTATGTCATACCATCTGTAAAATTCGAACTTAAAAGTAAATGAATTTCATTTCTGTGGAACATAAAAATAGTTCGATATTGAAAATTCTTCCTAGCAGTTGAGGAGTTTTGACTAAACATAGATCAAGAACAAGCTCAATAAGTTATCCCTGTTCTAATTATTTGAGCTTGAGGGTAGACATATGATAATTAAAACTTCATGCAACACAAATACTCAATACATCTGAATTTTGAAAACTTGAATTACTTTTACCTAGTTAATGACTTGCATTACTCTTGGACATCTACTAGACCTCAAGCATATATTACAAATTAATAATGCAATCAGTTCGTTCCCCACCCTCCCCCTTGCTTGCTACGTAATTTCCATTCTATCTCATGTTCTTGCTTAAAATTAACCTACTGTTGAGATTTATCTCAAGAAAAAATTTTAAAGAAAAAATTTCTCCAGTTAAAACCACATGCAGTGGCTTGTTTTATTTATATCGTAGAATAAAAGAAAAGACAAACTTAGGAGGGGACTGACCTCAAACTAACAAAGAAAGTGAGAGATTTACTTGTCTGTAGATAAGGAGTACAACATAAAAAGAATATAGGACTAAAATTAAAACTCATGCGGGCTCATGCCAGTTTTAGTCATCATATGTTGCATACCATATCTTCTGATTCAAAATCACTACTCGTAACAGATTTGTCATGAGCTATTGTCTCATGCTCCACGAGGAATGTCTAAATCTGCTTCATTTACAGTGGACCAGAAATCTCGTCTGCATAGTCTCTAATCCTCCTACATAAATCAAAAGCTGAAGTTGCTACCCAAGTGCTTCTGTAGTAGGATGGCTCACTTTAGATTGTGGATAAAAAAGCCATGCATTAATGTTAAAACTCATAAGCTGATATCTATGCTTATGTTGCCTCGATGCTCAAGCTGCTTGACTCTGGTCCATCTCTAAGCTCTTGTTTGACAAGCATTATTTCAAAACTATTTATTTTACATACACATTTTCAACTACACATACACACAATAAAATATTCTGCGCGTAAATCTAAAATTTTCGCTACTTTTTAATCACATATTCTCCAAAAATTCAATATTCAAAACAAAGTTTTTGCCAAATAATGGCCATCAAACATGGGCTCAATTAATGGAAAAATCACCAAGAACAATGTAGTCCATATCTCCCTGAATACGATCTCTTACTTTATCAGTGCTCTTAGTTCCATTGTCTTGGTTAACTGACCTTGGCTGATTATTTTTTGGAACCCACCTCCTGGAAACAGGGTAAATAAAACACTTTTATCTGGTATAGAAGGAGCTCATATAAATCAAAGATATTTAAGCTTGTATGGAGTATTTAGTAAGTTGTACTCTCAGAAATTGTACATACATTCAATCTTAGTATCTCCATATTCAAAATACTGCATGGCTATTTAAAGATTGTCAGTCATGTATTTGTTTTGCAACATCCGATGACAGGGAAAAGGAAAAGCTTTTTGTGCTGGAGGTGATGTTGCAGCCGTTGTTCATGGTATCACTCAAGGTAGACTAAGCTTTTTACGCTGTTATATACTGAACATTGTGAACAGATCTCTATTCCTATCAAATGGGATCTAAGGTTACATTTGGAACAAGGCTTCATGGCTAATTAGTTGACTTTCTATAGCTTTGCAGTGAGTTATTTAGTTTTGAATTTGTAAATTCTGGATCAAAATCTGATTGATTTCTGCATAGGTTGGATCTCTTAAAAATCCTAATATCCGCTTAGAGATGACTTTATTTGGATCTAGACTAGACACTTGACTAAAAATAGAACATCATGGCCTTTGGTTGAATTGAACGTGAAGGCTGGTGATTAGTTAATAGATTCAGCAAGTTCAATATAAGTTAGATATGGATATCAAAGTCAGGAATGGGTATTTTTTATTTTCAATAATGGGAAAGAAAATATCTGTAGCCTCTTGGGAATGGGGTTCAAACCTGTGATTACTTTATGAAAACTAAACAAAGGTATTTCTTCTATATCTACTGAATAACTGGACACCAGAGGTATGTTCTTCATAATCCTCATGTGCTATGGAAATAGTATAGTGAGAGCAAATGATCAAGCAACAATGTGCCTACATCTGTTCATGTGATTCATTGTCTTGTGAAGTAAGCAAGCTATCTTTCACCATGTTAAATACTGCTAATTTTAACTCTGCTTTCAAACCCTCTTATTGTTGCTAAATTTTAAACAGGCAACTTCTCAATTCTGAATCCAATTAGCAAATGGACTAATATTTGTCCCATGAACTTTGCCTGGTCCCTTAAATTTAATATTAACTGGCTTTTGTTTGTAATGATTCCTTTCAAAGGCTTTGATATAGCCATTAGAGATCTGGCGTGCACTTGAAACAACACAAGGTCCACACAGAATATCTGATGATGCCCACTATTTTCTATGAGCATCAGGTAATTGGAGACCTGGAGCAATTTTTTTCAGAAGACAATACATCTTGAACTATGTGATGGCTACATACAGTAAACCTCAGGTGCTAATGTCGAAAATCAGGGTTTAATTTGTTGTTTTTTCCTGTTAAATGCGTTGTGAGGTTAGTTAACTGCACCGTTGTCATTTAGACACGTTCAGTAACTTTACTGTTCCTTTGCAAATATGTATGAAGGCTTCAATTCTCAATGGAATTGTCATGGGAGGAGGAGCAGGTGTTTCAATACATGGTAGATTCTGTGTTGCTACAGAGAATTCGGTAATTATTTTTCATTTTTCATGAGGAATCTTACCTGTCTCTGCAGTTGATACTCCTTGATACTGTTATTTGTATTTTCAGAATGAGTTTATTTGTTACAAAATAATAGGCTAACATTACGAGCTAATTAGTCTCTAATTAGGCCTAATTACAGTAGCCTAATTAGTCTCTAATTAGCCTAAGTTCAATAGCTAAATTAACGTAATTAACTAGAGAAATTAGCATACCTTAGAGAGATTGTACATGTATATATATATAGCGTGATTTCCAATGAATAAGAATATAGAAAAATTCCCAGTTCTCTATTCAATTACATGGTATCAGAGCCATGAACCATCTTACCCGTGGTTCGGTTCTTTGAATTAGGCGACATCTTTGCGTGTCGACCTCACTGTGGTCAGCCCTTTGCCTCCGGATTTCTGGCGGCATCATCTGTGATTCCGGCATCTGGGTTTCACTCCTAGTTGCTGACAGTTTGGTTTCTAGCCAGCAGATCGATTGGATTGCTGGGCAGATCGATTGGGTTGCCGGCAGTTTCTGAAATCTCTCGGTCTCCATTTTGGGTTGGAGTCTGCGTTCCAAGTTCACCGTGCGATTCCGCCTCTGGTTCGCGTCTTTGTGACGCTGTTTTGTGGACGGAAAAAAAAAATTCTGGTCGGCCATCTTGAATTACGGGATTTTCTTTTCTGGTGAGTTGGGTAATTATATTCTATTGGGCTCTACACACGTGATCTATTTAATTGGGTCATATTAGATATATTTATTTTAACTTTGGACTGTTAGACTTGGTGGATTTTTTGTGGACTTTTGTTTGAGTTGGATTAATTGAGTCTTTCAATCTGCCTATTATTGGATAATTGAATGATGACTGAGTTCAAGGGATCTGTGAGCGAGATCATTCCAGTGATGTCCAAAATCGCTGAACATAAATTGAATAGCACTAATTATCTGGAATGGAGTAAGACGATTAGAATCTATTTACGGAGCATAGACAAAGATGATCACTTAAATAAAGATCCACCTAAAGATGATACAAAACAAAGTTGGTTGAGAGAAGATGCAAAACTTTTTTTACAAATCAGGAATTCTATTGACAGTGAGGTAATTGGTTTAATTAATCACTGCGAATTTGTAAAAGAGCTAATGGACTATCTGGAGTTTTTGTATTCTGGCAAAGGAAATGTGTCAAGAATTTATGAAGTTTGTAGGGCTTTTTACCATGCTGAAAAGGAAATCAAGTCCCTCACAACTTATTTCATGGACTTCAAAAGAACGTATGAAGAACTTAATATGCTATTGCCATTCAGCACTGATGTCAAAGTTCAGCAAATTCAAAGGGAGCAAATGGCGGTTATGAGCTTCCTGGCTGGTCTTCCTCCTGAATTCGAGACTTCCAAATCTCAAATTCTCTCTAGCTCTGAAATTCCCTCTCTTCAAGACGTCTTCAGTAGAGTTCTACGCACTGAAAATACATCACCTATTCAGCAAAATAATGTTCTTGTTACCAAAGGAGGGGGAAATTACTATGCAAGGAGGCCCAACAATAGGGGAAGAGGAAACAAGAATACTGATAACCGTAACTATGATTCAAGCAGCGTTGTGTGTTGCTACTGCCATGAACCAGGCCACACCAAGCCATACTGTAGGAAATTGCAAAATCGCAATCAGAGAACTCAGACCGCCAATGTTGCTGCTGCTCCTAGTTCATCTTTTGAGAAAACTGTTATGGTTTCAGGTGATGAGTATGCCAAATTCTCTCAGTATCAAGAATCACTGAAGGAATCCCCTCCAGTTACTGCCCTTGCTGAGTCAGGTAAAACATGTCTTATCTCCTCTTCAAAGAAATGGGTAATTGATTCAGGAGCTACAGATCACATGACAGGTAATTCTAGTACCTTCTCTAGCTTTCGATCACACAAAGCTCCCTCTCCTGTTACCATAGTTGATGGGTCAACCTATAACATTGTGAGATCTGGGACTGTTAAACTAACTTCCTCTATTACCTTGTCATCTGTTCTGAGTCTACCAAAACTTGCTTTTAATTTGATCTCTGTAAGTAGACTTACCAAGGATCTTAATTGTTGTATCTCATTCTTTCCTGATCATTGCCTTTTTCAGGATCTTATGACGAAGCAGATTATTGGTAAAGGACATGTATCTGATGGTCTCTATATTCTTGATACGTGGGTGCCTCGATCAGTTGCTTGTTCCAGTACCAGCTCCCCAGTTATAGCACATTATCAGTTGGGACATCCATCTCTGTCTACATTGAAGAAACTATGCCCTCAGTCCAACGATGTATCTTCACTAGATTGTGAGCCATGTCATTTTGCAAAACATCACCGTAGCTCATTAGGTCCGAGAATTAATAAACGAGATGAGTCTACTTTTGAGTTGGTTCATTCTGACGTTTGGGGACCATGTCCTGTTGTGTCTAAAACTGGGTTTAGATATTTTATTACTTTTGTGGATGATTTTTCTCGAATGACATGGATTTACTTTCTGAAAAATCGATCTGAAGTGTTCTCTCATTTTTGTGCTTTTTATGCTGAAATTAAAACCTAATTTAATACTTCTGTGCATATACTAAGAAGTGATAATGCAAAAGAATATATGTCAGACTCATTCCAGACTTACATGACTCAACATGGGATTATTTATCAATCCTCTTGTATTGATACTCCTTCTCAAAATGGAGTTGTTGAGAGAAAGAATAGACATCTACTTGAAACAGCTCGAGCTCTTCTGTTTCAAACGAAGGTTCCTAAGCAGTTCTGGGCCGATGCCGTCTCTACAGAATGTTTTCTGATTAATCGCATGCCATCTACAGTACTTAACGGGGATATTCCATATAGTATTCTATTTCCAAACAAGTCACTATTTCCAGTGGAACCACGGGTATTTGGAAGCACCTGTTACGTTCGTGATGTAAGGCCATCCGTTACTAAATTGGATCCAAAAGCCTTGAAGTGTGCTTTTCTAGGATATTCTCGTCTTCAAAAAGGGTATCGATGCTACTCACCTGATCTCCATAAATACCTAGTTTCTACTAATGAGATCTTTTCAGAAAGTACACCATTCGTCTCCTCTCCCTCCATCTCTACAAGTTAGGGAGAGAAAGATGAGTGGCTAATCTATCAAATCACACATCCAAGTGCTCCTATTGAGCAATCAGATGATGGCGCTTCTCTCACATCTCCCGGAACATCTAATGAGCAATCTCCTACTCAAGTAAAGCCACCTGTTATCCACGTTTATTCCAGAAGGCAAGAGACCAATGATATATGTCCTGCACCGGCTACTTCGTCATCTGATTCTCCAAACGACCTTGACCTTCCCATTAGTCTTCGCAAAGGTAAACGCCAGTGTACTCTCCCTAAATCTATTTATCCCATCGCTAACTTCATTTCTTACGACCATCTGTCTCCTGCGTGTTGTTCTTTAATTACCTCTTTAGATTCAATCTCTGTGCCTAGAACAGTAAAAGAAGCCTTGAGTCATCCTGGTTGGAAGAATGCAATGTTTGAGGAGATAAACGCTCTAGATGATAATCACACATGGGAGTTGGTAGATCTGCCTAAAGGCAAGAAAGCTGTGGGATGCAAATGGGTCTTTGCTGTCAAGGTCAATCCAGATGGTTCTATAGCAAGACTTAAAGCCAGACTTGTTGCAAAAGGATTTGCTCAGACTTATGGAGTGGATTATTCGGATACCTTCTCTCCGGTTGCCAAACTTACCTCTGTCCGCCTATTTATATCCATTGCTACATCCCAAGATTGGCCCTTACACCAATTGGATATCAAGAATGCATTCCTTCATGGTGATCTCCAAGAAGAGGTGTATATGGAGCAACCACCTGGATTTGTTGCTCAGGGGGAGTATGGAAAAGTCTGTCATCTGAAGAAATCTTTGTATGGTCTAAAACAGAGTCCCCGTGCCTGGTTTGGCAAGTTCAGTGAAGTAGCTCAGGAGTTTGGGTTGAAGAAGAGCAAATGTGATCATTCAGTCTTCTACAGACAGTCAGCAGCTAGCATTATTCTTCTTGTTGTTTATGTTGATGACATTATCATTACAGGAGATGATTGTGCAGGAATCTCCTCTCTCAAGTTATTTCTGCATACCAAATTTCACACAAAAGACTTGGACCAACTAAAATATTTTCTCGGAATAGAAGTAACAAGAAGCAAAAAAGGGATATTCTTGTCTCAAAGAAAGTATATACTTGATCTACTCGCAGAAACCCCAAAAAGATGGGAGCCAAGCCATGCAGCACTCCAATGGTTCCTAATGTACATCTTACAAAAGATGATGGTGATTTCTTTGATGATCCAGAAAAGTACAGGAGACTAGTGGGAAAACTAAATTATCTCACAGTGACTCGTCCAGATATAGCTTATGCTGTCAGTGTTGTTAGCCAATTTATGTCTGCGCCTACAGTAAAACATTGGACAGCATTGGAACATATCTTATGTTACCTGAAAAGAGCTCCTGGCCTTGGTATAGTGTATAACAATCACGAACATTTTTGCATTGAAGGCTTTGCAGATGCTGATTGGGCAAGATCTAAAATTGATAGACGGTCTACTACAGGGTATTGCATCTTCGTTGGTGGAAACCTTGTGTCCTGGAGGAGTAAGAAGCAGAATGTCGTATCCCGGTCCAGTGCAGAATCGGAGTACAGAGCTATGGCCCAGACTACATGTGAAATTTTGTGGATACAACATTTTCTAGCTGAGGTTGGATTGAAGCCTTCGGTACCAGCAAAACTCTGGTGTGACAACCAAGCTGCCCTTCATATTGCCTCAAATCCGGTATACCATGAAAGGACTAAACACATTGAGGTTGACTGTCATTTCATTCGTGAGAAAATCCAAGAAAATATAATCTCTACTGGTTATGTAAAGACTGGAGAGCAACTTGGGGATATCTTCACAAAGGCGTTAAATGGGACTAGGGTTGAGTATCTTTGTAACAAGCTGGGCATGATTAATATCTATGCTCCAGCTTGAGGGGGAGTGTTACAAAATAATAGGCTAACATTACGAGCTAATTAGTCTCTAATTAGGCCTAATTACAGTAGCCTAATTAGTCTCTAATTAGCCTAAGTTCAATAGCTAAATTAACGTAATTAACTAGAGAAATTAGCATACCTTAGAGAGATTGTACATGTATATATATATATAGCGTGATTTCCAATGAATAAGAATATAGAAAAATTCCCAGTTCTCTATTCAATTACATTATTATTGTGGATTTGTATACTAAGGTTTTAACTTAAAAGTTTGACACCACTATTTATTGTATGATGAACACATTTGAAGTCTCAAGCATTTCCCTTGACTTATAGTTATAGAGATAACTAGTAAGTTGTGGCATGAATGAAGCAATGTTAGTGTTGTATTTTGTATGTAAGATGGGATAAGGCACGATTGAAGAATGAGTGTTGTTCTTGTTCCTACTAATTTTTCATGAATGATTATGCTTAGCAATAACTTATTTTAGTTTTTCAAGTAACCGTTCCAAATTTATTGGAAATAAGCTTAGTTTGTTGTTTTTGGATGAAATACCGTTGGTCTTATGTTAGAACTTGGTACCGTAAAGAACAATCCATCCATTTTTTCGGGAGGGATGATGCTAACTGGGTTTATCGTGTCTCTAAATATATCTTTATGTTTTTTGTGGTTTAGAAGGCTGCTTAAAGCTTTGTTAATCAAAATAATGCATCTATATTATTTTTGGTGATTGTAATCTCCCAAATTTAGTCCTCAGCAGTAGGAAGATATAAAACCGCTATTGGTGTGGACAAAAAATCGTACTGAAATTGTTTAGTCATGAAATTTGGATGACACAATTAGTGGAATCAAGTAATCACGCTTCACTTTTTGCTTCATTATATCATTTATAATGGGCCTTGAGCCAAAAGTTTGGCTTTTAAGGCTTCACTCCATATTCAGGTGTCAAATTACAGACCTTGATGTCATTATAGTTGATAACATTGTGAAATCGCAGTACCTTCTGAGAATTATTTTTTTAACTTAGCAGAGTGACTTCTTGTTAATAAATCATTCTGCATTCTACAAACTGCTCTCATTTTGATCTTGTTGCAGCTTTTTGCTATGCCTGAAACAGCGTTGGGTCTTTTCCCAGATGTTGGTGCCTCTTACTTTTTGTCAAGACTCCCTGGATTCTTTGGTAATTACTGTTATACTCTTGTGTTTCTGCACATTTCTATATTAAGGTGGATTGCATATTCTTCTTAGCTATTTACCTTATTCTCATATCTTGAATGCTCCATCCTCTATCTCCTGTTAGATTGGATGCTGAGACTAATCATGGATTTATGATGCTATTGTAACAGCAATAATGCAACATTAGAAGATGAGCTATATTCAACTTGATAATTAAATATTAACAAACAATTTTTTACATAATAAAGACCTTGAAGGCAATAATGTGGGAATACTAAGAAGATTATTTTATTCTTTTGTTTCTTTGATAGGCAGCAGAAGTCCATTTTTTGGATTTCTTGTATAAATTAGATGTTTCTTTGACAATTCTGAGAATTCTATAAGTTTGATATAAAAATTTTGTTGGTTGCATAGGATGGATAGTCCAAAAGATGTCCAAATTTTATATTTGGACGTGGAGGGAGGATGTTTGAGCTCATGACACTAGCTGCAACATGCTGGTATTTGTGGGTGACATTTCCTCCTAAAAGTTTTTGACATTTCTTCCATTAAACCACAATTTGAGCTTAAATCTTTCGACAAGAATCCAAGTTTGAGTCAGTAGCCTCTGAGCCTTCTACTTCAACCTCTAGTCTTATTTATAAGAGAGTGAGTGAGAAGTGTGTGCTGCTCTGTAAGCAATATATTTGTATAATGTTATATACTCCTATAGATGTGAGACTCAGCTGGTATCCTCTTTGGGCAGTAGATAAGATAGAAGAAGGGGCTAGGCTCCCGGTGGAGGAGAGGAGACGGTTAGGATAACGAATCTTGTGGGAAGGGCAATATAATGGATCCCCTACATGATCTACTTCATGTGGATGCTTAGAGTCTGGCAACTCGATGAGATTTAGTTCTATCAATCCTTTGAGTAAGTCATTTACTTCTTCGTCAGGAATTAAAACCTTGGGTGGTATATTGTATTGTGGTTGCTTAAATCAGTTTATTCACTCCTTCCTCAGCTTCTCAGCACAAAAGATTAACTCTGCATAAAAACTTTCTTGAGCCATACATTGGATGAGAAAGAAACCTTTCAAATTGAATCTAAATTTCCTGAATATTACCTTGCATGATGTACCTAATCAGTTATTAGCATAAATTTTTAAAAATATGGAATGATAGGAGCATCCTCCATGAGATATGTATGAAAATTCTGATTAATGTCCTCCATATGGTTGATTATGAATCAGATATGCTCTAGTTTACCATTTATCGGATTGGATTATTAGTTTGTTGATTAATTAAGGGGGAGGGGTACATTAGGAATTCTCTAGAGTAACAAATTAAATAAATGGGGAGAGTGGGAAGTCTTAAAGATATTCACGTTGCAACAGAGAAAAGTCTGGAGAAGGGGACAGGTCGCTCAATTTCTTTCTTTTCTTTTTAAAATTCGAAACATCATCAACGCTTTGGTGGGGGTTCTACGCCTCCACCCTGACTCAATTTTGGGGGGAGGTTTGGATCAAAAAAGATGCTACAGGTAGGAGGGGGACAATATGTACCTTGTCTCCAGACATTACATCAAGAGGAGAGGGGTAAAATATTTGAAAAACAATAACCATGGATGTACTGCTTCCATTATATAAGGTTCGACATGATAATTTTGCTCAATTGTCTGGCAGCCCACAATTTTATTTTGTTCAGCCTAATATAGAATTTGTGGTTGGGCGGAACCAGTTAATGGAGTATTCATGAACACTGTATTAGTGGACCCAAGTGGATTAGGTAAGTTTGTCAACTTCTTAAGGTAGAAAGACTCATCTTGAGTTTTAGTCATGGTTGTGGGTTTTGATAAGGAGATTGTCCGTCTGTATGGGTTTCTAAGATCTATAGTATCTCGATTTTCACGTGGATGACAAGGTAATTTCGAGGACAGGGTATTGATAGGCCCCCACTTAAAAAAAAAAAAAAAAGGTTGAACCCCAATCTTGAGGGCCCCCACC